AAGAATTTTCTATTTTTAGGTTTTACTTAATCTGGATGAAGCAGATTTAAACTTAGACAAGTCATGGGCGGAATTAGTGGAGGAGGAATCAACTCCTAAAAAGGAGGATAATAGCGCGTGTGGTTCTCAAAGACGTAAAGCAAACTTACCTAAAAAGTCTTCAACTAAGCCAAAGTTAGTTTATTTTTCCTTCTTTCTCAAAAATAAATTTTCTCCGTGTTTCTTTCCATTAACAGTCTACGGCCCGAATGCTCTTTTTAGGTTTATTCGTACCATCGAATCGCTTGAAGCAGCAGAGTCATTGTGTTCGTCTTCAAAACATATTGGCCGTAACCAAAAGTCTTATTTTGCTTCAAAGGTAGGTTTCTTAATATTTTTTCTCTTTCTGTAACGCAGCTTCAAATTCTGGAATGAATCTTCCTTGATTTTTGTTTAGAGAACCACTAAAACAGAGAGAAAACGCCGTTTTTCTGGAACGCCGACTGTGAAAGATGAGGGAGCAAGCCCTAAAAAGGCTCTAAAATTGGAAAGGGTTGGTGGTTCTGCTACTAGGAGGTATTTTTTCTGTTTACCGCTTTTAGATATATTTGTGCAGTTCATCGGCAGTGGAAAACCTTAATGCTTTTAATTTGTTTAATTTTTTTTATGAGGTTAATTGTTCATTATAACTGCTTTACAGGTATGAGAGGTCACATAGTAGCAATGATGAGTTTAGAGTAAAAGATTTTTGGAGTGAGCCGACTCTAGGATGGTGTACTGACAAAAAAATTTTGGAAAAACGAACCAAAGTTGGTTTTATTTGATCGCTTTTTTGTTTTTAAAACATTTGTGTTTGTATTTCGTTCTTAAGCATTTCTTTAGGAAATTGGGCGGGCTAAAGAGAAGCCTGTATACGCCCGATACTTGAACGAAGTTCCAAGAAACGAGCGTACTCGTGACCACCCGAAAACCCCAAACAAATATATTAACTATTCTCGTCGTTCGTGGGATTCCCAGGTATTTATGTTTTAAGGTTGGGGCTTTTGGAAAAAAGGAACCGTATTTTAAAAATAGTAATAATTTTTTAATAAACCTATATTTATATAAGTCGTTTTGCCTGTTGATTGTTTGTTACAATTTTTGTGCTATCTAGATTCGTAGATGGAAACGTGCTCTGTATATATGGGGCGGTGAGGAACCGACGGCGAGTTGTAATTCTTCTTTCTGCGGTGAACCTGTGGATTCAGATATTGATTTAGCTAACGAAGTTGATCTAGAGGATGAAAATCAAAGACTTCAGTTGGAGCAAGATGATATTAAGGTTGTAAAAAGTTTATTAAAAATTCTTTGGGTAAATCATGTTGTGAGAAGGGTTGAATATTGATTTGTTCTTCTTTGCAGGTACGACTGGAACCTGATGCAATGGCGTCTCTTCTTGGCAAATTTGATATTGATTCTCACTCAGGTCGTACACTAACAGCTGAAGAATCAACACTCAAAGGTACAGCTAGGACAGCTTTGGGTCCTAAGGACTTCAGTGGTTTGATGAATTCATAATTCTTTGTTACTTTTTATGCCCCCTTCACATCCTCGTTTCTCCTTTCTTTGTTTTCAAAAACAGTGCTAATTTTTGTTAGTTGATTCTGTAAAATATGTGTCATGTTTCATTGAAGTTATAAATGTTTTTAGACAAAATCTTTTTACTCGTTGAAGAACACTAATTTTCAAATCAAGGAGTCTCTTTTTAACAGTACGGTGCTTTCTAGTTGTAGCAATGCAGTAAATAGAGTCTTTGTATGTTGCGGTGGAAACTTTCGCGCGTATCTTCTTGAAAAGTTATAGGTGGGTCAGAAAGGGTGGGTTTTACGGGGATTCTGCAGAGGTAAAGTGGGAGTGATGACACCTTTTACTTTTCCAATCAAAGCTTTTGACGAAAGAGATGAGGTTCTTTATTTAAAACTGCATTTCATTCTGTTGCAGAAAACGTAGGAAGACCATGAAAAAAATTTCTTTTTTGGTCGCTTTGTCTAGCTGATTGGCTCTAAGCAGTCATCTGTTTGTTAGTGACCCGGTAAGAAAGGTTTCTGCAGCTAATTTTGTGCCGTATGTGAGTAATAGAGTTTAGGCATGTTGACGGTGAAAGGTCGCTAAAATAAAGTAGTAATGGTAGATGGCGTTTGGAAATTATATCTTCTTTAGTTTGCTACAGGGGGGGTAATTATTTTCAAGATCTTTGGTACAGTTTAACAATTCTTGTTTTTTTGTGGCTGTATTCTGAAATGCTGATACCGCAAGTTTTGCAACCAGTGGATGATGTAAGGCAAAATTCTTGCTCGAAATTCGTTTTAGCTACTGTTAGGCTACTTTTATGGTAAGTAGATGTGGTTACACTGGGACAGATATAAAGTCAAGTGGCGTCATCTTTGAACTTTTTATATCTTTGCAAAGAGACCTCTGGCTGTAACTACGAATACGTGTTTAAGAGAATAACGAGCATTTTGAGTAACTGCGTTAGCTGCATATGGCAGAAATTACGAATGACGTTCAGAAACCCTTATTTTGAAAGTCGAGAATGGTCAAGCAGAAAAAATGTTTAAATATTTCCGGTAATGCTGTTAAAATAATTTGACGGCTAATAATTTTTAAAAATTACACGACTTAAAATTACAAAATTTCTGATTGTTTACTCAATTGTCAAAGTTCTGTTTCCCTTTTCTCACAATCCCTATTAAAACAAGTGTTGAGGGTGGTGATGTATGAAATTGCTGAAGTTTTGGGGTGCAGTTAAGTTTGGTGTTCTGATGTCGTTGTTGCTTTGACAGAAGTCAGGGCTCTGAAGTACATTTTTTCATATTTACTCATCATTTTTTCGTACTATACGACATGTTATTTAATAAGCAAATTTTGAGCTGGTGGTTTTCTAATTTAGTCTTGTGCACGGTGTTGTTTTTATCAGCCTTTGAAAAATTGTTTGAATTCAGACGTTTACAGGGATTTATTACGGTTGTCCTTCATCGTTTCAGTTTGCAAATAGAATGAAAATTGCAAATTGATTTGAGTAGTTTTTTATATTTCTGAAATTTTTTTTGCATGGTGATTTTGACAAAAATAGGAAATTTTTGACCAACTCTGTAATGATTGCTTTACATACTGGTTAATTTGCAACTTTGCAGCCTTTTTTTAGCCACAATTTTATGAATTTTGTTACCGTACAAATGACTATTTTGATTCACAATGTATCTAAGCTGTAGTATAGGTTCTTACTAAAACAATTCATTAGTTTTTTTTTTTAAATCAGCTCTTTAAATAGTAAGCTTTTCATTTTAACAGGAAGGAATTCAATGCAACATATTTTATTTGCTATTCTTTTTAAAAATTTCTACTGTACAGAATGAAGATTAAAATTTTTAAGACAATTTGCTGTTTGTGATCAAAATTTTTGGTTGATTGATAACAAATAATAGAAGCTTAGATTTCTCTTATGATGATTTTTTGCTTGCTTGGAGCAGCAGTTATACAGTGGCGTACTTTTGATGAACTATAACACTCGCTGCTACTATAGATGATGCGCTGTTGAAAAGGTCACTTGCCATCAGAAATTGGCTTAGTGTCATTTTGCTCAGCATAGTTCTTTTTAGTTTCACAGACAAAGTTATAATTAAAAGTTGACGTCGCGAGGGATGGCACTACAACATAGTGAACTGAAAAACCAAATAACTTTAGTGGAAATTGTGTCTTTCAGTGCGATTTATGAGCACTCTCATCGTATAACTGAAACAGAAAGATGATATCAAGAAACATAAGGAAGTATTTTTTTTACAAAACTGAAAAGTAGTTTTGTTTCCAAATAAAAATATTTCAGTGCAAAATGGTTTTTGAAGTTATCCATTTACGTCAGAAAAATTTGCTTTAAGTACAGGAAAGATGAACGGCATATGTAAGATACGATACGAGTCCGAACATCTTCGGTCATTTTGGGATGGCCAGTTCCAAACGCTAGTTTTTGAAATTGTTCAATTAAATGGTTTTATATGGGGTTAGTATGCTTGGTTGAACCAGGTAGTTTGTTTTTTTTTTTTCTGTTGTAGACTAAGTATTATTATACTTTTGTTTTTTAAGAAACCATTTACGGTAATCGATGGTTTTTGCATAATCGAAACTTGTTTTTGTACGAAGAAAGAACTGGTCCAGAAGAAGAGGAAACTCTGAAAATATGCATGAAGCTTTTTGGTTGCGAGTGTTGTTTACGAATTCACAAGCGGGATTTTTGCGTTTTGCAATCAAAGTAACCTTTTAATCGTTTCATTATTGTTTTAGTAAAGAGGGAAAAATCGTGTCCCATTATAAAAATATCTTGTTTTTTTTTCTCCTTTTACGCCACATAAATGATTCATTCTATAGTGTTCCCTTCAAACAATGTTATCTTTATTCAACAGTTTTTGCAGCACTATTCCATTCTTTTGAATGCGGTTATTTGCTTTTCCGAAAACTCTTCAACACAAAAAACTACCTTCGACATTTTTTATTGGTTTGACTTAGCCATCGATGGATGGATCGTCGCCGATCATTTAAACCGCATGTTTTTCGGGCTGTTATGCGCATGTTTGCTTTTCGGTTCTAGTGGATCAATTTGGCTGAAAAAAAAAAATCGTTTACTACATGTTTCAGCTTTGTTGTTTCGAAATAAAAAACTATGTAAACTCGCTTTATAACACCGGAATTAGGGATACCAGTTTTTAAACAGTTGTGTTATTTCAATTCAAAAGGTTGGTGAAATACAGTGATAAATTCGAAATAAAAAGTTGTAGGAGGTTAAGATTCATCATGTAAATCTGATTTAATATAGTTTACTAGTCAAAATTTTTTACTTTTCTATTTTTTAAAATTTTTTTATCACGATAACAGCATCTAAAAAGTAGTCATGCTACTTATTTTATTGCCTCATTTTAAATGGCGGTTATCTAAGATAAAGATCGGTGGAATTTTGAGGACAATATTGAAAGGGGTGATTAAAATTGGTGGGATAACAGTTTTGGTCAGCTGTACAGCAGTAATTATTCACCAGTTGAAAAAGGATGTATTAAGCATTATTTCAGTGGACAAACAAGGCGCTGACAAGTTTTTTCAACCTCTTGAATTGTTGTTTTTTCAGTTAAAAGCGACAGAACATGATTGGGGAGAACCGGTAAGTTTTGATCGACGAAAGTTTATACAAACAAAGCGATAATTATAGGATTTTTGTAAAATTTGGTTTTCTTTTAATGGTTTCCAAGACAACATAAACTACTATTCATCACCACCATTTCCATTAACATCAACTGGTGTAATTTACCAGAAGCCAGCAGTCGAAAATCATAATTTTATCGGCATTATATTTATTCTCTTGAGAAACGTAAAAAAAAATTGTTTGAGATCCGTCAGTACTGCTGTTAAAAAATTTTTGCTTTTTTGTCAACTCAAATTTTACAGTCTAAGCAATGTAATTTGTCAGCGTTGTGTAAAATCTGTTAAGTACTACCAGCAGACGTTGATAGGTCAGAGTTTTTAAATCAGTGCGCCTACAGATTGATAAGTGGTTGCCTTAAAGTAGTTTTAAGACCCTTTCTTATGAAATGATGTGACTGCCTCAGAAGTCTTCAAGTTAAGATGGGTGTTTATTGAGGAATTAAATTGTTAATTTTCTGATCAACTTGTTTATTTTATTCGCTTTCTAGCTACGCATATTGCACTTAAAACTGCTTACTTGTGGAACTGTATTCATTAGATTCTTCTGATCTACTAATGACCAATAGTTGCGATTAAGTGAACCAGATTTTTGAGATCAATGTCTATTTTAAACGATGATTAGGCATTATTCTACAGTCGTCATTGTTTCATAATTCTATAGCTGCATAATCGAATTTATGAGAGAAAATCGTTCAGAGGCAACAGGAAGGCAAAAACTTTAAAAATTTCTTATCAAAATGGATCTCCTTGAAAATTTGATTGAAGAAAGTTTTTTTCAAGAAGAGGTATAACTTTTTTATGGCATGACTTACAGATTGGAACTGCAAGTTAACGAGCGACTTTAATGAAAAGATTGGGATTTTTGACAGCCTGAGCTGGTGTTGGATTTTTTTTTGTCTTTGCCGTAATCATTGTTTATTCAATTCATTATCAACAGTTTTTTAGGTGTTAGTTTACTGCTTATAATTTGAGTATTACCAGTACTCAAAAAAAACCATGAAAAAAAAAAACAGAGGTTTTCTAACCACAGCTCAACCTATGTCAACTTCTGCTACTTGTGGAAGTTTTTTTTTTTGAAAAAGGAGAAGGATGGAGGCAGTACAGTGTTTACAGGGAAGAAAATTGGCAGCGAATGTCCTGAAAAGT